TGGTGGGTGAGCTTTGTGGAGGAGGACAGTGCATGTCACATGGGAATACAAATGACCTAAAGGAAGAAGTGGTGGAAAAGTAAGGTTCGTGGGTATCCTGCTGTGGGGATTTCTCATTGTATCCTTTATGTGTAGGCCTCACCTGCTGCCCGCTTTGGGAACTGCACCTTCTCTGAATAGCTCAGGTGTACCGTCTCCTTAGCCTTTCTGTTTCTGGAATGCTTATGTTTCTTATCCCTAACCTTTGAAATTCAAACCTCCTGTTATTTTATAATGATGAACATCTCTTTCCCTTCTTGCACTAATCACACTGCAGGTTCTTTACTTAACCAAAGAAGTCATCCAGCTATTGTATCTTCCTCTCAAAAAAAGGTGTAGGGGCATGTCTCACTCCTTAAAAGAAATTCTTATAATATCTACAGCAATATTTTTCAAAATATTCATTTTATTTTTATCTTCACTGCATTTGGATTTTAAAGAGATCAGGTTTCTCCCAAATCAATAAAGCAAATAAGAGATAATTTCAAAATATAATTCCAGTGATTTATTTTCCTGTAATTTAATAAAGTGATCCTCAAGTTAATTTTGGAGAAAAAAAAGCTCAAAAAAACAAGACAAATCTTAAAAAGAGAATTAATAGAGGAGTGACTCTACAAGGTTTAATTAATTTATTTTTTTTTTATTTTTTGACAGGCAGAGTGGACAGTGAGAGAGAGAGAGACAGAGAGAAAGGTCTTCCTTTTGCCGTTGGTTCACCCTCCTATGGCCACCACGGCTGGCGCGCTGCGGCTGGCGCACCGCGCTGATCCGATGGCAGGAGCCAGGTGCTTCTCCTGGTCTCCCATGGGGTGCAGGGCCCAAGCACCTGGGCCATCCTCCACTGCCTTCCTTGGCCACAGCAGAGAGCTGGCCTGGAAGAGGGGCAACCGGGACAGAATCTGGCGCCCCGACTGGGACTAGAACCTGGTGTGCCGGCGCCACTAGGTGGAGGATTAGCCCATTGAGCCGCTCTACAGGGTTTAATTTAAATAGTTATAATTTTACTGGTAGATTGAACAAGCAGAGATACAACACAAAGTTCAGAAATAGATTTGGTGTGTAATAGATAAAAGCATACTAAAAATATAGGCAAGGGGGCCGGTGCTGTGGCGCAGCGGGTTAATGCCCTGGCCTGAAACGCTGGCATCCCATATGGGCACCGGTTCGAGACCTGGCTCCTCCACTTTGGATCCAGCTCTCTGTTATGCCTGGGATAGCAGAAGATGGACCAAGTCCTTGGGCCCCTGCACCTGCGTGGGAGACCCAGAGGAAGCTCCTGACTCCTGGCTTCAGATGGGCTCAGCTCTGGCCATTGAGGCCAACTGGGGAGTGAACCATCAGATGGAAGATCTCTCTCTCTCTCTCTGCCTCTGCTCTCTTTGTGTAACTCTTTGAAATAATAAAAAGAAATCTGTTAAAAAATAAATAAAAATAAAAAAATAGGCAAGTATTTATGTAATCTGGGACTAAGGAAGGCCTTTCATTCCATGGTAGAGAGTGTGTGTAGTATTCTTATGAAAAAAATTTGAAAATATATTGTGTTATAAACATTAAGTAAGTAAGCAATGAAAATGTTATGGAAATGGGTAGTGATGGTTTTCAAGTAACAGCTTAATTTTAAAAGAATTATATCTCAATAAAAATGTAAATGTAAATCATTTTCACTTTATATGACATGAAATAAAAAAACTGAACATTTCCAGTAGAGAATTCCATCAACTGCACATGAAGGGACTGGTGTTGTGGTATGTCGGGTTATCTGCCACCTGCAACCCAGCATCCCATTTGGGTGCCGATTTGAATCCCCACTGCTCCAGATCCAATGCAGCTCCCTGCCGATGTGCCTGGGAGAGCAGCAGGAGAAGGCCTGCAAGTCCTTGGGTCAGTGAACCTGTGTTGACCCCAGGATGAGCTCCTGGTTCCTGTTCTTGACCTTGCCCAGGTCATTTGGGCTCTGAACCAGTGGATGGAAGATCTTTTTCTCTCTCTCTTTCTAATAAATAAAATGAATCTTTAAAAAAAGAATATAAATTTTAAACATTTGTGTAGAAAATTACTATTCCACATATGAAATGTAAATTAATGAGATGACCCAAGGACTTTTACAATTAAGCTGTAGATGTCAAAATATCACTCATTTTGATGCCTGAAAAATATTCCATTATATTCATTTATCTTTATAACTCACATTTTATTTTATTTTATTTTATTTTGACAGGCAGAGTGGACAGTGAGAGAGAGAGACAGAGAGAAAGGTCTTCCTTTGCCGTTGGTTCACCCTCCAATGGCCGCTGTGGCCGGCGTGCTGCGGCCGGCGCACCGCGCCCATCCGATGGCAGGAGCCAGGTGCTTCTGGTCTCCCATGGGGTGCAGGGCCCAAGCACTTGGGCCATCCTCCACTGCACTCCCGGGCCACAGCAGAGAGCTGGCCTGGAAGGGGGGCAACCGGGACAGAATCCGGCGCCCCGACCGGGACTAGAACCCGGTGTGCCGGCGCCGCAAGGCGCAGGATTAGCCTAGTGAGCCGCGGCGCCGGCCAATAACTCACATTTTATTTATCCATCATTGGATGCCTAGGTTGATTTCATATCTTGTCTATTATGAGTAGTGCTGCAGTGAATATATGAGTTCAGATAACTCTTTAATGTGAGAATTTAATTTCTTTTGGCTATATACAAAAAAGTTGACTCTGTGTCATGGGTCATATGGTAGGTCATGTTTCAGGTTTTTGAGGAACCTCTACATTGTTCTCTATAATGGCTATACTGATTTGCATCCCCACCAAAAATGTATAAAAGTTTCCTTTTCTTTTCAAAATATTTATTTTCTGTCTTTTTGATAATAGTCATACTGACTAGCATGAGACAGTACCTCGTTGTATTTTTGATTTACAGAGAGAGGTAGAGACAGAGAGAGAGGCCTTCCATCTGCTGGTTCACTCCCCAGATGGCCGCAATGGCTGGAGCTGCGCCGATCTGAAGCCAGGAACCAGGAGCTTCCTCTGGGTCTCCCACACGGCTGCAGGGACCCAAGGACTTGGGCCATCTTCTACTGCTTTCCCAGGCCATAGCAGAGAGCTGGATTGGAAGAGGAGCAGCTGGGACTAGAACTGGCACCCATATGGGATGCCAGCGCTTCAGGCCAGGGCTTTAACCTGCTGTGCCACAGTGCCAGCCCCAGTTCTTTTTTTAAACAGATTTATTTTATTTGAAAGGCAGAGTTGCAGAGAGATGAACACACACACACACACACACACACACACACACACGGAGAGAGAGAGAGAGAGAGAGAGAATGAAAATGAATGAATGAATGAATATCTTCTTTACCCTGGTTGACTCCTTAAATGCCTTCAGTGGCGAGGGCTGTGCCTGCCAGAGCCAAGAGCTTCATCTGTGTCTCCCATGTATTTGGAAGGGGCCCAAGCACTTGGGCCTTCTTCAGCTGCTTTCCCAGGAACATTAGCAGAGACTGGATTGGAAGTGGAGTTGCTAGTCCTGTAGTCGGCATCCAATTGGGATACATGCATCACAAACAGTGGCTTTACGTACTACACTAAAGTGCTGGCCCTGGTTTATAGGTTCTTATTTTTTTTTAAGATTTATTTGTTTATTTGCAAGTCAGAGTTACACAGAGAGGAAGAGAGGAGAGGCGGAGAGAGAGACAGACAGACAGACAGGTCTTCCTTCCGCTGGTTTACTCCCCAGTTGGCTGCAGCTGCCAGAGCTGTGCCGCTCTTGAGCCAGGAGCCAGGAGCTTCCTCCGGGTCTCCCACATGGGTGTGGGGGTCCAAGGACTTGGGCCATCTTCTGTTATCCCATGCCATAGCAGAGAGCTGGATACGAAATGGAACAGCTGGGTCTTGAACCGGCGCCCATATGGGATGCCGGTGCTTCAGGCCAGGGCATTAACTCACTGTGCCACAGCGCCGGCTCCTGATTTACCAGTTCTAATTGTCTCTTGGAGGATTCTTTAGGTTTCTGTACATGCAGAAACATGTCATCTGCAAACAGGGATAATTTGACTTCCATGTTTCCCTTGTTTGCCTTTTATTTCTTTCTCTTACCTAATTACTCTGGTTAAAACTTCCAGTACTGTATTGAATGAGAGTGGTAAAAGTAGACATCCTTGTCTGATACCAGCTCTCAGAGGAAATGATTCTTTTTTCCCCATTCAATGTGATGTTGGCTATTGGTTTGTTAACCCATTTGTTCTATATCTAACTTGTTCAAGTTTTTAATCATGAATGACTGGTACCTGAATGTTTTTTCTGTATTTGTTGAGTTGATCAGATAATTTTATCCTTCTGCCGTTGTGTGATTTTACACTCACTGATTTTCAAATGTTAAACATCCCTGCATCTCTGGGATAAATCCCACTTGGTCGTAGTGAATGGCCTTTTTGTGTGTTGTTGGATTTGATTTGCTAGTATTTGGTTGAGCATTTTCGCATGTATATTTAGCAGGAATATTGTTCTGTAGTTTTATTTTTGTTATGTCTCTGGTTTTGGAATCAAGGTAATGTTGGAAGGGTTTCTTCACTTTCAATTGTTTTGACTAGTTTGAAGAGAAATGGTTTTAGCTCTTCCTTATGTTTGATAGGATGCATTTTTCTTTTTGCTCTTTTTTTGGTGAATGTCTTAGTAAGAATAAATTTACACAGAAATTTCATTTTTCTCCATCTAAATACTAGAAATTCTGGAGAAGTCCTCAAAAGTTCCAAAAGCAAATTCTGTATGAGTTTCCTTCAGGAAGGTGTAACTTCCTGTTTTGACTAACTGATTAGTGATAGTTTTGTAACTTTGACCATTGTAAATTAGACTGTACTGCATATATCCCAAGATTTTTCGTCTTCAAAAACAGAAGTTTTGGGGTTTGAAACTCGGATCCTATTGAGTGTACTTCTTTCTGATGATTGACTTGTGCTCCCTGGATGTAACAGTTTCTTCTCCCAATTTCTTAGACGGAATCATGAATAAACTGGAGGAGAAGCAGGACCAGATGATACCATGAAGAGGAGTTTACAGGTCCTCTACTGCCAACTGTTAAGTGAGTTGATCCTCCATTTCTTCTTTCCCAGAAAATACCAGTGGTACTGTTTGCTGAGTGCCAGGAACTTGTGCTCTTTAGGAGGAAGTCCGGGGTTGGGTCTGTGATGGAGGACAGTGAATTTCCCCTCAGCTTCATTTTATAAAGTATCATGCATTGTGTTATTCTGTTGCTTTGGACGTCAGTTATAAAGATGCTATTATAATAATTCTAAGTTGACATGTTAAATATAGATAATTTGGTAATGAGTGTCAAACATTATTGCTGTTGGTTTTGTGATAGAATATAGGGTCGTCTAGTACTGCCTTCTTTAGGTTCCGCAGAGGGAAAACTTGATAGGTTGTGTGTTCTGGATTTTTCACGTTGAACCTGTTACCATTCAGCGACTATACAGTCTTTGCCCTGAGATGTTAAGTATGTTATGCATGATCCTTAACATGAGTGGCGAACAGGTGACTTCTTGGCTTTCTGTGGTAGAACAGAGTGTTTGATTATGACTTTCTATGTTTCTAGTTTGGAGATTTGTCACAGTGTGCCAGTTGCGTTTCAGTTACAGTACAGCCTGTGGGATTGGAATTACTGCTGAAGGAATATAAAACCTCTATCAATTGTTGGGTTTGGTGCTCTGATTCATTCACTTGCAACCAAAGCCTTTGAAATGGAAAACTTGAATTCCTTTTGTTTATCTATTTCCTCTGAGGTCAGTGGAGGACCTGCCCCTCCCAGGCTGAGTGGCTCCCTGTTAACTTTGGCTGAGAAAATAGAATGAATAAAATGTCAAGAGATTGAGTGCCAGTTGTCTCTTAACATTTAATTCAGGTTATGTTGTATCCACTGTGCAAAGCATTTTATCTACAGACAGCATTCTGGCTGGGTATTTTAATTGGCTCATTTCCTCTAGTCAGCCTGTTTCAGCCTGATGGAAAGTTGCCAAGCGCTATGGGACTCTCATGTTCTTTCTTCGTGTGTTCTATAGGACTGGGAGTTTGTTGCTTTTTTTTTTTAATGATAAGTTTGTTAGAGAAAAGCTTACAGTTTGATAAAATGGTAGAGGGGGCATTTGAAGGATGAATGGGATCCACATGTATACAAATCCCTTAGAGAAGAGGAAGCAGGCTTTGCACAGGCAATATAGGAAATGAAAAGCACCATAGTAGAGTTGGCGCCAGCAAAATGTTTGAGTTTACCTATGCTGATTGTGTAGCCCAGTGTTTGCATAATATTTTAAATTCATGTATTTAAAAGCATTTGGTAAGTTATTTTACAGTCCAGAGACAAGTCTTATTCTGCAGCATGGTCCATTCTCCTAAGTTGAACAGCCATGAAAGCTGAATGGGTTTCAAACATTATCTGGATAGCTAGGGAAGTCAACAGTGTCTCAGCACCTTATTGTTTGAAAAGTTTGTTTGGAAATGCAAATAGCCGGAGCAGGTGATGTCCTGTTGGGTAGGAGGTAGGTAGTAACACTCACTGCACTACCCTGATTACTGCGTGCATACACACACAATAGCTCATATATGTTGTAGGTCATCTAGTTATTAACTTATGCCTGTATTAATATCGTCCACAAACAGAATGTTCTTGTGGAGTTTAAAATAGACTTGAAAATTGAGTCAATACAAATGTATTATTTCCTGATTGAATATTCTAGCTATTCATTGCTATGTAACAAACGATACTAAAACTTCATGACTTAAAGCAGTCGCAGTCATAAATATGCAACTTGGACAGGAGTGGGCAGAGACTGTTGTCTGCTGCACTGTATCTGGGACCTGGGCTACAGTGGTTGGGAGCTGGAACAGCAGGTGCCGAACCAGCATCTCTCTCTCCTTGGAGCCTTATCACATGGCAAGTTTGGGCTTTCTCACAGTCTGGTGGCCACAGGGTGGTCAGACTTCTTACACAGCAGCTCACTGTGTAGCTGGGCCAAAACCTCTAGGGCTTTCGGTGAATTGTGCTTAGAAGCCCCAGAACAATACTTGGGCCATATTGTACTGGCTAAGGAAGTCACCAGGATGAAACCTGATTCACATGAGGGAGTTAGGCTCTATCTCCAAAGGGGAGGCTGTTATCAATTTGTATTATCTTTTATTCTACCACAGAAAATACAAGGGTTCTTCCAAAGTACACAGGCATTAGTGTAACAGTTAAAATGCTGTTTAAGATGCCTGGATTCAACCCCCTGCTCTGGCTGATGACTCCTAGTTTCCCACTAATGTAGACCCTGGGAGGCAGCACTCGTGGCTCAAGTGATTGGATTCCTGCTACATATTTGGAGAACTTTGGAATAAACAAAAATAAAAATAAAATAAAATAAAATAAAATAAAATAAAAGGCTTCTGAATGGAATTCTCTTCCCGGCAACTGACTTTGGTTCAACCCAGTGCTGGCTATTGCAGGCATTTGGAGAGTGAATCAGTTGATAGACAATCTCTCTTGCTCACTCACTCACTCTCAATGTGCGTGTCTGTCTCTCTGCTTCTGAAATTTTTTTTTTTGGAAATATGTGGAAAATGTAATTAGGAGATAAGTTTATTTTGGTGTAATACAATTTTAAAATCCATGCATAGTTTTTACAGAATTCTCACTTCCTGTGAGCTTTCTGAAACTGTCCTTAATGTACAGGTTTCAATTTTTTGCACCAAAATAAGATTACCTTTTAATCCCATTTCCCCACAGACTTTAAATTTTAAAAATTTTTTATTTTATTTGAAAGGCAGAGAGAGAGAAACAGTGCGTCCACCTGCTGGTTCACTCCAGTGTTTGTACATTTAGGCTGGGTCCAAGTGGAGGCCAAGAGCCCGAGACTCATTCCAGCTCTCACATGCGGGTGGCAGGGACCCAAGTCCTGCAGCCATCATCTCCTCCCAGAGTGCACTTCAACAGGAAGCTGGATCGGAAACACAGCAGCTCAGACTGGAACCAGGCCTTCCACTGTGGGATGTGGGTGTCCCAAGCGGGAACTTGCCTCTGTGCCAGTTGTCCTTCCTTACCGCCAAACTTTTTGAACTATACTCATATTTGTTTTTTTTTTAATAAAAACAACAAAACCATTATCACTGTATTTTACCCAGTTCATGAGTCTGTCTGTTGTTGCTCTCAGCGTCAGAGCTCCTTCCTCCTGAGAGCCTGCTGTGTGTACATGCCTTTGTGGATGACTTGCCTGCATCCTCCCCTTTCCAGAGGTCAGTGTTCAAGGTAAAGAAGTGCTACAGATGAGTAAACAAGCCAGGGTGCCCAGGCAGTGAGTGGTGGAGCTGTGGTTCTCACCCAGGTCTCTCTGACCTCCTGTACACTTACCTCTTTTTTTTTTTTATGCTTTATTCAGAAACCTCCAACCCCCGCCAACCGCATAAGATCCAGGAAAAATCAGCAGTGTGACCCCTGTGTTGTCCTGTGGCCAGAAAGAGATGGTTCTAGCTTGTGGTCAGCAGAGTAGGCATTTGTTAGTGATGTCACCTGAGGCTGAAGGAAAGCCAGCCTCTCTCAGTCGCTGGGTCGGTGTCAGCAATCATCGGGGCTCATGTGTTCTTCACCCAGGCTGGGGGCACAGTCTGGGGAAGGCAGGGCGGTGCAAGTCTTAAGTTTCTGTTTTTTGTGTAACTGGCTCTCTGTTGTTTCTTGGACTCCATACTACAGTATAGTAGTGAACATTTCATCACTCTAGCCTTTTGGGAAGATTTAACATATTTTAGATGATTCCTTGAAGCAACCAAAAATTGACATTCTTTTTATTTCTTTCTTTAATTGAGAGACATAGAGAAAGAGAGTGCCCCCACCTACTGGTTCATTCCCAAAGGCCCACAATGGTTGAGGCTGAGCAAGTTCAAAGTCTGGAACTAGGAACTCAGGTCATCCATGGAGTGACAGGAACCCCACTACTCGTGCCATCATCTGCCACCTCCCATGGTCTGCATTAGCAGGAAGCTGGGCTCAGCAGTACACCTGGGACACAAACCCAGGCATTCTGATATGGCATTTGCCGGACCAAATCTCCATGCCGCTTTGCTTTTGAGAGTTCAATAACCAATTTGTTGTTGAAGCTAGTGCTAAGAATGTCTGGATTTTTAAGCCAGGAGTCCAAATCCTAGCCAAACCACCTTCAGGTTTACCTGAGATAAATTATTTCATCTCAATGAGACTGATGTAAAATGGGATACAACTGCCCGCTGCCTAAAGTGGGATGAGGAGTGGTAACATGGCATACACTTGCAGAAGACGATGGATGCCAGCTCTCTCACTGGCCTTCCTGTCTGCAGGAGAGGAGCAGCAGGGAGCTCTTCTGTAATAAACACTTGTATGCGACCTTTTGGGTCACAGAGCATTTTCCCATAATTTGATCCTCACAACAACCTTATAAGGCAGCTAGGACTCCAACTATTATTGATACCATTCCAAGGGGAGGAAATGGGCATGATCAATGCTCCATCTTCCAAGGTACATCACAATATTTATTTTTTAATTTTTTTTATTTTTATTTTTGACAGGCAGAGTGGACAGTGAGAGAGAGAGAGACAGAGAGGTCTTCCTTTTTGCCGTTGGTTCACCCTCCAATGGCTGCCGCGGCCGGCGCACTGTGGCCGGTGTACCACGCTGATCTGAAGCCAGGAGCCAGGTGCTTCTCCTGGTCTCCCATGCGGGTGCAGGGCCCAAGCACATGGGCCATCCTCCACTGCACTCCTGGGCCATAGCAGAGAGCTGGCCTAGAAGAGGGGCAACCGGGACTAGAACCCGGTGTGCCGGCGCCACAAGGCAGAGCATTAGCCTAGTGAGCCGCAGCACCGGCTACAATATTTTTAACTTTAATTTTTTTAAAGAGTTATTTATTTGAAAGGCCGAGTGATGGAGAAGGAAACACACACACACACACACACACACAGGAAGAGAAAGAGAGATCTTCTCTCTGCTGGTACACTCCCAAAATGGCCACCGTGGTGGGGGCAGGGCTGGGCTGAAGCCAGGAGCCTGGAATTCCATCCAGATCTCCCATGTGGGTGGCA